TATATATATATATATATATATATATATATATATATATATATATATATATATATATATATATATATTATCGACTGTATTTATGAATAATATTATATGAAAGCATATTACATATATTCATATATCCCTAAGTACTTCAATGATTTTACATTCTATCATATATCATTGCACATTTAATTCATTATGATATTTGATTAGCATATTATTGTTATCTTTTTCTTTGATCTCTAATTTTTACTGAACATTTATGTTCATCCAAAACAAATTTCACATATTACCATATATATTATTTTAAAATAATATGATTATGATTTTGAGTTAGCAAAATACTTGGAGTCGCTATTGAGAAAACATCCAAGATGAGATGAAAACTATATATATATATATATATATATATATATATATAGTTTTATATAATTGATTTTTTTTAAAAAAAAAATATAATACAATTTTCTTGGTATATGAGTTAATTTGTGTCACACATTTCATCTATAGAACTGTATGTGTGAATTGTGCTCAAAACATTTACCAAAATGTTGACAGATGTAAGTCCAAGAATAGAACATTCTATCTCTCCATTTGTTCTTAGAGATCATATTGTGTTGCTAGGAGACACACTGTGGACCACTAATAAAAATTTCACAATCTTCCATACTCCAAACTAGAAAAATGTAAGCATCACAAAAATTGAAGAGATGTCAGAACAAAAGTGTCTCTCATCATTGCCTATGCAAGCACATCAGTGTCAAAGATGTGTTCTCCTTCATAATTGGGTCCACAACAAAGTAAACAAGCCAAAACTCCAATATTTCAACTAATTGATTCTTGACAAGTTTATTTCAACCCAAATATAATAATTTTACCGATCAAGAAGTACAACAAGAACAAGAAAAAGGATTAAAAAAAAAACTCCCAAAATATCAACTTTCTTAATAGAAATTATCTCGAGGAGAATAAAAAGAGAGATTTCGATCTCGATAAAAATTAGGTGTCTTTCCATTTCTCCAAAAGAAGACTACGATAAGAGGAGGGATCGACAGCAGAAAAAAGGGGGAGAATGCTGTATTTATAAATATTTATTCTTAAAAAATAATATATTTACCCTTATAAATTTAATTTAATTAATATCCATCATAAAAACTCTGTTTAATTATAAAATATAAATATTAAAAATATTTAGGCTTTTAGTAGTATTAGAAGATATTTGACTGGATTTTTTTTTGATAATTTGAGTATAATAAGAATATCACATTTTTTATACTTAAAACAATCCAATTATTAATCCCTCTTGTAAACCTATAACTGTATCGACAAATAATACCATCTCTATCTCCAATAATTAGTATTGGTAGCACATAGAATAAGCCATTATCACACGTCTTCTTTCTTTAGCTCGGCGGTGACCACCACCTACCTGCTTTCTACGTATCAATCATCAGGTTAATAACCATTGGCAATGAAGCAGACCTTCTTCTTTGGGTAGTATCAGTGGGTCAGCCACGTTTCCATTCCAGGAAAATCTATCCGACATCCATGCCTTGTTTCCATTATAGGCATCTTTCATGTCCTTCCAATCCATCTAACCCCTCGAGTTCTCCACCAACCTCTCAACCCTCGACTCTTGATTTTAAGAGCAACTACCAGTCTCTCTCCTATTCCTACCGTCCATTCTTCTCCCCCACCCTTCTATATGAGCCTACTTATGAGCCTACTCACCTCATTAATCTCCCACAGAAACCACCACATCTCTTGGGAGGAGGCAATAGAGAAAAGGGTGGGTGCTCAATCTTGGATTCTTCTGTATTTATTGCAGTATGGCAGATTTGGATCGATCATCTGAGGATGTTTCTATGGATTCTAAAGGTACATATCTGCTCTTTGTCATCAGGAAAGTTGGCATGGCCGACATCTTTTTTCTTCTTCTTCTTCTTCTTCTCCTTTTGCCTACCTTAGGGGTTGTTTCAGGAGGAAACAGCCAAATTTCCAAGATGGATTTCTCAGAGGATGAGGAGAAACTCATTGCCAGGATGTATAATTTGGTTGGACAGAGGTTGGTTTGGTTTGCCATCGTTTGAGATTGCAGCTGGAACCAATCTGTGCTTTTTTTTTTTCTTTGATGTTTCTTGTCATGCTGAAAAGCAGGTGGTCACTGATTGCTGGAAGAATCCCTGGAAGAACAGCTAAAGAGATTGAGAAGTACTGGACCTCAAGATACTCAACAACAAGTGAATGAGTGATGGGTATTTATTCTGCACTGTGTACATGGCAAGCAAAATTTTTGGTGATGTTTAGTTTGGTTTGTCCTATGGGGGGTAGTATTTCCATGATGAAGGGGTGTGGCAACAGTTTCCCTGTTCTTAAAAGTGATGTTTATTTTGGGTGGGAAATCCAAATGTCCACATAAGTTCTTGTCTACAACAATTTTCATGTTACTCTTGTCATAATATAAATCTTCAACCTCACTGTGCTGAGAAAAACTTGTGGGATTTATATGAACTGGGTAGAATGATCATCCTCCATGGCCTTTAAAAAGGTTAGTAGCTGCTTCTATTTTTCCTTCTTAGTTATTTGTTGCTATGTTTCATTTTGATTTGTAGTTTCAGCTTTCATGCAGAATCCACATAAGTTATTCATCCACTTTTAGATGATTTAATTAAACTCATAAACATACTTTTTTCTATGTTCAGGTATGATGTACTTATTGTGCTTTTTGGGTATTTTGATTGGGACTCAGCTGCTATGCCTTGAGAGTCATTTGTTTTATTTTCAGCTATGTTTATCAATTTGAGTGTTATTTTTCTATAGTGGGAGTGTTAGAAAAATTAAGTGCCATCTATTGCTGCTGTGCTAACAAATTAAATAGATGTGGATGCCTTATGATTGCTTTTCAGAATCACATCATAATAAATACTCTTGTTGTTAAATCAAATTCAAGGAAAGCACCAAAGTCACTTTCAATCGAAATTGTCAGATCACTGCAACATAATTTGGCTTCTTGTTGACTTCCTCTAACTTGTTCTTGATCCCACTTACAAGTGACTACTTGACTGGAAACAAATTACAATGATGAATCCAACATGATGTCAGAAAAAGAAAGAAAAAGGCAGCAGGTCATTTTCTGAAGAAGAAATGTAAGCATATGTGCTGTTGTCATTCTCTCATCAAAAATCACTAATTATTGATGCATTCTGCTAGCATCAACAAGCATTCATCACACAAACAGTTTACACACCCAAGAATAGAGGAGAATGGTTCTTGAAAGATATGTTGCTTCTTTCCATCCAAATAAACAAAGCCCATGTCAAAGAGAGATCATGAATCCTTCACCTCTATCAGATTCCAACATAAAAAAAATTATCTCTATTGAAAGAGAACAAATTCCAGTTTGGTTTTGCAGAATAGGAAGCAAAAACTAGATCTGGTTCACACCATGCAAGTGATATATTACACAGTAATCGGTAGAGGTCAACCAAAAATCTAAATTACAGTTTACTTCCCGTATTCTACAGCAGTTTCGAAACACAATTACATTTCGCGTATAACATATTGAGCATGCAATGAAGAAATAAACAGATCTGGAAACTTAATAATCGATATTCTAATGTCAACAGGAACAGGAACTACGTCGTCGCCGTCGACCGTCGATCAGCACATTCTCAGGTACAGTATGGTGAGTAGGGACAGATCATGGCACTAACAAAACAAAACCAGCATAGGAAACACCAGACACACATACTAAGAGACAAAAATGATAGTACTGTTCATGCTTAAGGGTATTACTAGGTTCAAAGGACCTATGATTCTGATTCCCTACCATGCCATCCATCTCCTTTGCCCAATTAATCTTCAGAACTTGTCTAACTTTGATATTTTATACAACCAAGCTTTCCGCTAGTAGAAAGACATGATCAGCACCTACTTATCAAAGTTCATCTACTGCCTACCTGCACCCAGAGAACAAGAAGAGCCATCAGCATCTGCCTCCTGTGTCTTCCTTAACCTCACGGCCGCATTTAAGATGTATCTCATACCCACATGCGAGGCATTGGTATGCCCAACCCAAGCCCTGCTCATCACATGCACAGCATATGTAAGGGCCACCTCCTGATTTCTCTGAAACCAAATTAAGTACGTGACGGTGACCGTCATGTTTGAAAGAAGTTGGGTATCGCTGAGCTTCTTCATCCATTTTTTCTTGGAGCAACCTAATGTGAGCTTCGGTGAATGGATATGCCATTTCCATATGCAGGTTTATTAGGTTCCTTCCTCCCTTTGTGACTGTTTTCCCGTCAGGGCCTATTATAACAAGCATAGGAATCTCTTGGATATCGAAATACCGAGCTAGTGCTTTTGAAGACTCTTCGCCGTAGGGCAATGCAAGCCATGGCATGCCAGAGAAGTATTGCAAGAATCCTGCCTCATCTCTGTCCATAGAAACAAACACAACTTCAAACTCTTCGCCTCTTTCTTGGAGGTGATTGTATATGGACATCAGCCTTGAGGTAAATTTCAGACATGGAGGGCACCATTGAGCTGCGAAGTACAGGCCTACTGTTTTTCCCACCAAACTCGAAAAAGTTACCTGCAACTTCTATTGCCATGAGGGCCAATCTAATAAGCGCTTGCAACTCAAATCTAAGGTGCAATGCTCTTACCTGGTCATTGCGTTTGATCATGTGGTCTTTACCACTGATCGCTAGGAGCTTCTCTAAGGTTTGAGATGCATACTTTCTCTTTTCTTCGGCCTCCAATTCTGCTATCCTTTCGGATGTAAAAGGGAAAGCCTGAAGTCCGTAGCGGTACAAGATCTCCACTCCTTCTGTCTGAATTAAGCCACCACCTGGTTTGAGGATAATTAGTGCTGGAATGCCTTCAATTTGGAATTTATGAGACAGACTTCTCTTGGAGTTTATATCACTGAAGGGTACTGCAGGCCATGGCATCGAGCTATAAAACTGCTCAAAGGAGGACTGGTTCTCATCAGACGACACAAACACAATTTCAAATGGTAATTCCTGCTCCATTAGCTTGTGGTAAACACTGACCAAAACTGGGGTGAATGAAACACATTTTTGGAACCAATTTGCAGCGAAGTACAAACCAATGGTCTTTCCTTCTATGTCTTTAGGATTAACCTGTAAGTCCGCATTAATCTCACATATTGTGTCATACAAAATAATATGAGATACGCTCTTGATTAAGTGACAATTGCAAGAGGTTTCAGATTCATGAATCCGGAACATGACATTTCTTTTTTTTTCCATGAGCATGTATGTGTGCCTGTGTGGAGAAGTAAATCAATTCACGTAGCGATTTTATCTCAAACACAGTCGACGCAGATTTTTTTTTATTTTTCTATGTTGTTTTACAATAAAACTTAAAAGAGCCTCCCGACTAAGGTGTGCTTTCTAGATGCTTCTAGATCATCTCTAGGTACACTGAATTCCTAAAGAAGACAAAGTGAGCTGCCTAAATTTCAAGAAAAAGAGGGCAGAATGTCTGAGAAACAAACAGTAGCAAGAAGAGCAGCATAAAGAATTGTTGATCCTGATGCTAATTCAAAAGGAACACCTGACATAATGGTTCTAGGTTTCAGATTCTTGTATTGCAGAAGAGACACTTTTCTTTCTTTCTTTCTTTCATTCTCTTTTTTTTCCTTCTTAAGCAAATCAAAACAACTGAATTAGAGAAACAAACAGGGATACAACAATGAAAAAGGATATATCCTTTTAAGCTTGGATTGAGAAGCAGAAAGAAACAAAAAAGTTGTAACAAAGCAATTTTGAAACTTTTTAAAATCAGGAAGCCTAATTACAATCAACCATCCAATAACTCACACTAACAAGAGATAAAGGATTAAGATGCCAACTAAGGTGCCAGGTGAGAGACCCTATTTGGACTAGATCAAGTTTTGAACTCTGAGATACTGCACATTCAGATGCAGAAATGAAGATTTACTGCATTTTTTATATGTTTTATGCTCTTCGAGAACCTCACAACAACAACTTCAAGTCCTCAACAAGAGAAAAAACAGTATATGGCTTTTGTAGAATTTCTTTGCTTGATAGAAACTACAGGAAAGCTATCCCTGACAAAGAGCAAGAGAATCAAGTTAAATGAACTCCCAGCTACAACCTGGCAGCTATAAGCAAACCCAAGCAGCAGATGCTTTGAAGAATAACAGTAAAAAAAGGCTATAGACAGCATCAGATGAGCAATGAGTCGCACCTTATTCCCGGATGGACAGATGAGGAACTCTGTGGATAAGAGAGCGGAGAGGCCACCGTCCCCTGTCGCAGAGGCCACCCCTGTTACTGTTGGAGCTTCCATCTCCCTTCTCCCTTCTTCTTCTTCTCTCACCTCATGCCTTGTTTTATCACTGCGACCATGATATACGCTCACGCCCGGTGAGCAGAAGAACAAATTACCACTCAAAATATGCTGATTTAGCTCCGCCCGGCCTTTTACGTTATCGATGTTTGGTTCGGATGGAGAGCATGCCACGTAACTGCACCGATAGCGAGTTCTGGAGAGGCGACTCTCGGGGCCTGCGACATTATTCTGCTGTCGTTGTTGTCGACCCACAGCATTATTCTCCACCAGCCATTGCTTCTCGTCACGGAAAAGCTTCTGGGCGCGACGCCCGACCTGGCACCTGCTTCCACTGCACGAGGCACACGTGGGAGACGGCGACCGGGACCAGCGCGATCGGCCATGGACTTCTTTCGGGCACAGCTCACGCGAGGAGGGAGCTTTAGGTGGTGGCCTTGGACACCTTGCACCACGGTAGGTGCATGTCTGCTTTCAAGTAGTCCCGGGCCAAATCAACTTTGCCTTTCCGCAAAAGGGCCAGAGAGAGAGAGAGAGAGAGAGAGAGCAGAGCTGGCTTTCTTTGATGCTTTGGTCCTTTTGGTATTGCACAGGTGGGCGTTTTATTGGGCATCAATCAATCATGTAGATGAGTTCCACGAAAATTGGACAGAGGATGATATCAACACTGTGCGTAAAGTACATGATTGCCTTATCCATTTGAAGCTAGTGTGAAAGCCAAACGCTAGCTTATCCTACAACTCATTCACCGATTGAGGGAAGGAACGAGAACTAGATCTTAGTACAAAACATGTTGCGAATCTTATCCAAGAGCCGACAGGATTGCCCGAGGAGCAAGAAGTATGCGATCTGTTGTTGCTGCTCTATGAACGTGGCAGAAACGCTTTGATGAAGGCATAAGATCGTGGTCTGGGCTGTATATGTTGTTGGGTCTCCCTAGGAACTGTTCACTCAACGTGTGACCCAGTCGAAGCCCAATTGCATGACCGTCACCGGACATTGAACTGCAAATTCCGAGTAGGTGTTTGATAGCGGTGTACGGGGTAAATAAGCGAGATATATGACTGAATCATTGCAGTGTCAGAGGTATTGCATGTGGGTTTTGTGTCCAGCTTCCAAATGGTTTCAGCTACCTGTCGGAATTTGCAGCGGTAAAAGCCCTTCTTCCGAGCAAAAGGCTCTCTCTTCTTGAGGTCTCTCTGTTCTGTGTTTGGAAGAAGAAGCATCAGCTCTTCGCTAAAACGTCGTTGATCCTATCAGCCCCGGGATGGCTCGCTGACAACTTTATCGGGAGCTTGGTCCAGAAGCTGGCTGACTTCACAGTCCAATTTGGGGTGAAGGACGGACTTCAAGATAATCTCATCAAGCTAAAGACTTCTCAAAATTCAGTCCGTCACCAGCAAAGCCGAGAATCCGTGGATCAAAGATGAAACAGTATGCCAAAGTATTGGTGATACAGCTCGAAGAGGCGGCTTGTGACGCTGAGGGTTTACTGGACGAGTTCCACTACCGAGTTCTGCAGAAGCAGCAGATGGAGAAGCAAGGAGACGAGGCAAGTTATCAATCACCATCTTCTTCTAATCTCCCTCCAAAGAGAAAGAGAAGAGCTTCATCATTTGATGCTGTTACAATAAGCTTTTTCGGTAGAGAAGATAATGACGATGATGTGTCTAAAATACGGGAAATCCAGGGAAGAACAGATAGGTACGCGACTGTAGCAGAGAAAGTCTTTGGTCCGTCATATGAAGAAGATAAGAGTCGATCGAAACAGAGGAAAGCCTCGGTGAATCGAAGTACAGGTTCCATTTTGGCTGGAACTCCAAGTGTTCGGACGAGACAGAGAGCCGGAACAAGTTCTGCCATTGTTGTTGAAATCAGCCACCAGTCTACAAGAAATCATCGATGATTGACAACACTCAGTAGATGGATAGATCATTTTTCATGGCTGTAATGAATAATCGTATGGCTTTTTTAACAACAGTTATAATCCTAATGCATGCACTGCAGACCTAAGCAGGAACCGAGATAAGTTGGACTTGACGAGGGTAATAACGGTGATAAGACTCGGGTGACGTCAGCTGCCCCAGATGACGTCTTGCGCCTCTGTTGACCTGATAGCATCTGGTCAACATGGATCGGAACGCCGACCAAGGCTCATTAACATCCTGCTCAAGCTCGATCCCTCACGCCACGCCAACGTCCATGTCAGACGTTACCAGAAGTACGATCCTGCTCCTTGCGGGCAGGCACATCAGGCAACGATAACCCTCACTATAAAAACCCTCGCGCTCCAAGGAAAGAGGGAGGAGGACAAGAGAATAACCCCTGCAACTATTTGCTAACTTGATTGTCGGAGGGGTCGAGCCGAGCTCTCCCGACCTAACCTGTGTGCATGTGCGAAGACCGAGGCTTCCCACTAAACGCTCAAGCGAGGAGTTCTCTCCTGGCGGAAACGACGATACTGTCCCGATCGGACCACCGCAGTCGACCGTCTCAGCGGTCCCAAGGGTCGTCCTGAGAAGATCCCCCGTCATCCGGATTCGAACTGAGCCGCGTCGACCCTGAGGCCACGGCTTAAAGTTGTTTACACCAACAGGACTTGTACTCTAAAGGCTAATAAGATCCAATATTATGCTTCATCCGATGACCAGGTTATACTCCAATCAGTAATAAACATCTTGTTTACCTAATTAACACATGCTGTGTCGCATCATATCATCTTAAATCTTCACATTTATTTGTTCGCGAGCATTGTTTCGGATCTCTTGAATTAAATTCTATTCCAGTTCGACAAAACTGTTCTCATCAAAATTACGGTATTCCTTGACGTTTCTTGGTTCGATTGAAACGTCTAATTCGAAGCCATTTAGTAGTTGATGTCGGCAAACTGCACATCCGCTCATCTTTAATTCACAACCAATAGCATCTGAGTCATGGCCCAAAAGTCAACTCCATCGCCTTAAATTCGTCAATAAAAATGAATAACGAATTATTTGTTTACTTAATAAATAAGATATTTACCGACGAGCTTCAACAGCGAAGAAGCACTCGACGGCCGGATTGGAGCTGCCCTGACGGTTGGCCTTTCCCACGGACGATCGGCTCCACGGTTCGGTTCACACCGTGTCGGTGTCGGCGGGCCCCGACAGCCAACAATGCGACAGCGCCGACGCCAGCCGTCGCCGAAGCAGGCACGTTGCTGAACTGGCTTTCGTCATCGTCGCCACGTGGGACTCGATCCAACGGTGGCGTTCCATTCTCTGGATCAGATTTGACCCTCTCCTCCTTTAATTTCCGCACATGTGATCTCATGTCATCGAAGTATTTAACTTTCTTTGTTCCGCCCCTCTATAAATAGAGACTCCTTCCGCGTGCTGCTACCTCTTCAAACATCGACGTTCTGAGCGAAAAGAAGCTGCTTTCAACTCGGATTGCCAGGAAGAGAAGAGAGATGGGGAACTGCGTCGGCTTGCAGAAGCGGGTCGGTGGCGTCGATGAGGATGATTTCTGGGGAGCCATGGGGCAAAAGAGCTCCGGGCGTCGCGGAACGCAGCAGGATGAAGCCAAGCTTTTCTTGGAACCGGAGAGGGAGGAGGGAGGCGCCGGCTCGACCGAGATCAAGATCAGGATCAGCAAGAAGCAACTGGAGGAGCTGCTACGAGGAACAAGAGGCAAAGAACGGCCGCTTCAACAACTCCTTGCCGATCTCATCAGCATGGGCGAGACCTGGGAACACCATGATCAAGAGACGCACTGGAGGCCGAGTCTACAGACCATACCTGAGGTACCCGAGTAAGCTGTTGATCTGAAGATGATGACGACGCATGCTTGTCTTACAAGAGTGTGTCTTGTTCAAGATAGGGTTCATACTTGTATCCCTCTTTCTCCAATTTAATGTGTCATATACAGATCGTAGATTAGATGATGTAAAATAAATTACGAGGGAGGACATATAAAAGATATTTTAGAGGATTATTTAAGAGTTTTGATGTTTACATTTTAGGTGAATATATGTGTATTATTTATTACATCTATTATTTAGGTGAATATATGTGAAGTATCAAACTAGAGATGGATTAAATAGCAGGATGCCACCATGCAAGAGAGATACGAATGGTTTGGTGGAACTTTACCACCTGGAAGAGGTGGTGGCTTAAGCCAATTCTTTGGCTGTTTAAGACTAATCTACTGCGCTCCGGTTTGCCACCTTACTGTTGAGAAAATGGAGCTCTTTCTTGGGAAAAACAAGACGGTGGTGAAGGCTAACAATCTCTTCGTCTAAATGCTTCGCAAAAACAAAAAAATTAGAGTGGATGAAATCCTCCTATCTCTGCTGTTTTCTACGATTCCGCAGTCGTATAAGCGAACTTGCAAGCTACTCAATTTTCCTGTTCTGAATTAGAAGATTTCATGCCGTGTTGTTCTTCGGAAGGTGTACTCAATCATACATTTATATAAACTTTTTTTAGTCAAATAGAAGCTACAGGAAGAAGATATGCATGGTAGAAAATAGTCGCAGTAAGAATAAACCAGAAAAGGAACGACAAGCAAGCAAAGAAGATTTCTTCTTCGTAGAATGATTTAACTATTTGTTATTGTGGAAGCTTTTCAACAGCTAAGATTATACACATTTACTTGCATTCTCTAATTAAGACCATGACATCTTAAAAGTCTATTATAGATCAGACGTTGAATCCGACGAGATATGTTTGACTTGAATAACTCTCAACCGAAGGCCCTGTAAAGGAAAAACCTGATCGTTTCTGTGGGTTACTATGGTTGTGAAAACCATGCTTCTCGTGAAGTCAAACATTTAGCATGCATGGAATCGTCTCATGCTACGTGCGTCATTGCTGAACACAACAGTAGAAACCATGGACATAATAGATGAGTTGACTTGGAAGTATCACATCATCAAAGGCTCGCAGGTGCCACGTTCTCAAAGCAACGTGCCATGAAGCAAACCAAGATAAGTATCGATTGCTTATTTACAGTTTTTTCTAAGCATGCATCATCTATTCCTTCTTCGATAACAACAGATTTCAAAGATCATCGCCACACGTTATGGACCAGTCTTGGTAGCTACGTACATCTGCAAGGTCAAGGGTTTTATATACATCCCTCCACCTTAGCCGTATATCACAAGCAAAATGACGGCTTACCAATCTAGAAACTTATTAATCAATGAGAAAAATGTTATTCATATCACAAACCATGAAGATCCATCAAAAATGAAACGAATACACGCCCGAAGAATTGCTTCTGTACATATGCATACGTGAGATGATATTGGACCGTATGCTTGCTCGGGAACATTTTGTGATCCGACATAAAGATAATTATTTATGATCTTTCTTGAGTTTCTTGGTGATCTTAAACTGAACAAAAATATAGACCATATTGTCACGGACAAACTTCTAAACAGGATGTTTGATGTAATGCTTATGTATGTCCGTGTCTTTTGGTATGTTCATGCTTTGTACAGCATGTACAGGAACGGTCGAAGACTTAATAATCGTATTTTAGTTAGGTTGGTGACCGCTTTAGGCTTGTAAATAAAGTTTGTGTCATGAGGACACGTGTGAGAGATTTTCGGTCTGTAGTGGATCATTTTACCTTTTGTTGTGCAACTATTCAGAGCTTGTAAAGTCTGTTTGTAATTTGCATTGTCTATCAAGTGTTTTCGAAGATGTTTGCTTGTGGATCCCGAGTGAAGCGTTCTTTCTAACCCGTTCTCTCTTTTGTTGGTCCTAGGGGATAATGGGAGGCTTCGGAGAGGTTGACCTTTGCGTACAGACATGCAAGGGTGCCGACTTAGGCATAACCAACTAAGTCCGTGACAACATGGTCTCAAGGAAGCAAACTAAAGAGACAAAATATTGCAAAAGCTATGAGATGTTTTGAGGGTCAGAATCTCTTTTGGATATACAACCTAAACCATCATAGCTCAATACAGAGCATTACTAAAAGGGACAAACCCAAGACAAGGTGGAAAACTCCGAAGTGCAACATAAAATCTGACAGAACTAGAAGAGACATTAGTATAGGGGTATTCTTGATGCCGATACATGGACTCCGATGTATAGAGGACAACATGAGCGTTTGTAGGGTTGCACATAATAATTGAGAACCTGACAGTAACGGAGACGTTTGAAACTTGCCGAGGAGTGACTGAGATAGATATGTCCATCCCGTTGATGCCAACATTAACAAAGAGGACGTGAGTGGACTCCATTTGCACAGAGCCGTCGATGACGATGCACACGAAGAACTGTCAAGGAAGACCATAAAATTGCTTCTCCTGTAGTGCAATATGTACAGCTACTCCACTGGAATTACATGCGGTTAACGAGGAGATCACATAAGGGTACCGTATAAGGACAAACTGTGCCGGTGTTGGAACTCCCTTGAAGCTCACAGAATGAGACACATCATGATATGGTCATGGATGATAAGATAGATGGGAATCGGGTGGACCACATGTTCATGTTCCTTCGCAGCCCGAGGATTCCAGTCTTCTTATCCCACGGTGTACACTAGCTCTCGTTGTTTGCCATGGCCGGCGATCATGGCGGTGAAGCCACCCACGGCTACAGCCGCCGGCTGGAGAGCATACTTGCAGACCTAACTATGTCATGGCCTCGCCGACTCTGGTCAGCCACAACCGTCGAGATGCAGCTTCTCTTCCCCCTCGCTGCTCCCGCCGTGGTCGTCTACATGCTGAACAACCTTCTCTCTCTCGGCACTCAGGTCTTCTCCGGCCATCTCGGAAACCTCGAGCTCGCCGCCTCCTCCCTCGGAAACAACGGGATCCAAATCTTCGCCTACGGCCTCATGGTAAGGCATTCCTCCCCGTAGACCTTACAGCAACACGACATCCAAATTTCTACTACAATGATACTATATTACACCTGTAAGTTGCTGCTTAATTACATTTCAAATTGATGATTTTATCACCATACATGATGTTTGATATCCGTTATGAATAATTAGAGAATTTGATGATCATAAGACTTAGTAAAAGAAATTATAGCTGATATGGTCAACAATTTTTTTTGGATTTTTGGATAAATTCATATTTTCCGAACTTGGATTAAAGTTTTTAATCTTTTTTGCATGACATATCAGCTAGGGATGGGGAGTGCCGTAGAGACGCTATGCGGACAAGCCTACGGCGCGCACAAGTACGAGATGCTCGGCATATACCTGCAGCGCTCGACGGTGCTCCTGATGGCGACCGGAATACCTCTCGCGGTGGTATACGCCTTCTCGAGGCCGCTACTACTACTACTGGGGCAATCGCCAGAGATCGCAACGGCCGCGTCGATATTCGTGTACGGCCTCATCCCGCAGATCTTCGCCTACGCCGCCAACTTCCCGATCCAGAAGTTCCTGCAGGCTCAGAGCATCGTGACGCCGAGTGCGTGCATCTCCGCCGGTGCGCTGGCGGTGCACCTGGTGCTGAGCTGGGTGGTGGTGTACAAGGTTGGTTTGGGCTTGTTGGGGGCCTCCCTGGTGTTGAGCCTGAACTGGTGGATCATAGTTGCGGCCCAATTTCTCTACATCGTGACGAGCCGGCGGTGCCGGTTCACGTGGACCGGGTTCAGCTGGCAGGCGTTTGCCGGCCTGCCAGAGTTCTTCAAGCTGTCGACGGCGTCGGCGGTGATGCTCTGCCTGGAGACGTGGTACTACCAGATCATGGTCTTGATTGCTGGTCTGCTGAAGGATCCTCAACTGGCCCTGGATTCACTCACGGTGTGGTGAGAACTTCAACTGCTCGCCTATTGTTCTGAAATCTTGGATATAAATCATGTTCGTAGGTGCTGAAAAGAGAGTAATTATCAGAGAGGAACTCGTTAGATCATGACAACATGATGATAGCAATTTTTAGTGATGCTGATGTTGCATAAAGAACGAGGCATGTTGGATGATGATGGTAACAATATTCATAGTATTTGATTGACTGAAGTGCTTATTGCTATATGCAGCATGAGCATTGCCGGGTGGGCGTTCATGATCTCAGTCGGCTTCAATGCAGCTGCCAGGTCTCTCCTTTTCCATCCTCTCCTGTTTCACGCAACTTAGAAGAGCAATGCTAATGGAGCCCGAGATAGGACACTGATGGTGTTCGACCATACGTCCCACAAAAGTCCTGTTTAAAAGATCATATTTATATCTTCTACAATATCATATTTTAAGGCAAAGAAACGCTCGAACTGATCTCATTCTCTTGGACTGGCAGCGTGAGAGTTGGCAATGAGCTCGGCGCCGGTCATCCGAAGTCAGCGGAATTCTCGGTGGTGGTGGTAACAGTGCTGTCTCTTATAATATCCTTGATAGTAGCTACGATCATGCTCTGCCTTCGCCACTACATCAGCTATGCTTTCACGGAGGGTGAGACTGTGGCCCGTGCTGTCTCCGAGCTCTCCCCCCTGCTCGCCGCCACCCTCATTCTCAATGGCATCCAACCTGTGTTGTCCGGTTATCACCGCACTCTGCTGCACTATCTTACTGCTGCATAAACTTCCACTGATATAACTGCAATTTAACTGGTATACATAATAAATGCAGGTGTGGCTGTCGGGTGCGGATGGCAAGCATTTGTAGCATACGTAAATGTGGGATGCTATTATTTTGTAGGAATTCCACTTGGCATTCTCCTTGGCTTTAAGTTTGATCTAGGAGCAAAGGTACATGCTACTGCATTATTTTCATCCCCAAGTTCATGGAAATGTTTGAGTTACTCCAAATGGTCATAACTATTAGAGAAAAGAAACATTTTGTGCATCCAAGGCCTTTACATTCATCAGTAACGAGCTCAATTTGCATGCCTAATCAACTTGGCATGTACAGGGCATATGGGGAGGTATGCTTGGCGGAACACTCATGCAGACCTTCATTTTGATTTGGGTTACTTTCCGCACAGATTGGAACAAAGAGGTATGTACTTTTTCCTGTTCAGTTATCTTGTCGATTTCTTTCTGTAATTGTTGCATCTGATCAGCTGGTGCTACATTGTGTAATATTGCTAGCTTAAAGGATAACTTGCTGACCAATTTAAATCAATTTTGTACGGTCTGCTTCATTGCTCTTTTCCATGATAGGTGAGATTATAGGAAATTCAAGTCATTTTAGTCACATTCAATGGAGTTGATCTTCCATCCCAGTGCTCCAAAATTGATTTTATATGAAATGTCAACTTACAAATTGATAAGTCAATAACTCATTCAGTAATTCTGAGAAGAGGTTAAAAATGTGATGGATTTGTCTTGAAGTCCTGGAAAATTGTTGGATGTGTTTCTGGCAATGCAGGTGGAACAAGCCATGAGAAGACTAGACAAATGGGAGGACAACAAGCAACCTCTGCTGAGCAATCTTGACTAGGAAACAGATGACAGAATCAGCCTTCCTAGTTATGGAACATCTCCATTGACATCACAATTTACTTGGTGTCATCCATTACCTATGACAACATTACCAGCAGCAAGCTAGTATCTGAAGACAGAGAGACCCTCAAAGAATGAGAGGAAGAAAGCAAGAAAGTAGATGGGTTCCCTCAAGTTTCTCCTAGAAATGGATCTATCAGTGTGTTAGCAGTTATGTCCTAATCTTGGGCATTACAAGCTAAACAAGTACATAGTTATAAAATGAAAAATCTTAAGACAATTTGTAAATTCGTGTGCATCTTGATGTCACAATGAGCTTAATTTCTGCAACAGTGATTGAATTCAGGATGATGATCAATTCTATTGGACTGTACTTTCAAGTCTGTTAATGGTGGCTTCATAGGACTACAAGATCTTCAAATCCTATAAAGCATTGGAATCTAAATATTGTTCCTGTGTCTAATTTGCATAACTGAGCTTTAGTTACATTATTCTGAACTAAACTGGAGTTGGGTTTCATATTGTATTGCTCCAATATGTCTGAACTTAATATGTTTGATACAAAAATCTTTGTTTGTACATTCTGCTTAAAGGCATACAGCAGTAGGCAACCTATTTTTTTTTTCTATTAGATTATCCTCTGTCAACATCTTGACATGTCATACCAACCAATCAATCGTTTTGATCTTATCCGCGAGGAAAATATGTCTAACATGTGTTGTAATGCACTTATCCGAAAACTTATTCGTCAGATGTAGACTAGATAAGGTCGGCAGAACAATTTTACCTAAGTGTTGGAAGGAAAACTCACTTGTAATCATTGATTAGAAGGCATTTGTGATCTACTAACTATCGATCGATCTCAGAGCAAAAGATTAAGAATTAAGCAAGAAAGCAAAAGGAAAGGGAAAAAAATACTTGGGAAGATCTTTTGAGGAGGACAGGAAGCTTTTACGTACACAATAGATATCTCCCAGCCGCCAACTCCCAAAGGCTTATCTCTAGATCTTTTTTTATGGGCAGAATCTAGTTGAAATCAATTATGTCTCGCTAGATCTTAAGCAAGATTCCTTTTTTGTGGCCAAAACTTGACCGCGAGAAGCACCCTCGGTACTGCAACACTCGACTCCCAGTGGGGCGAGCTCTGGCTATTAGTACCGCCCAAGAGTCACAGACGGCTATCCGTAGCCCACCCAATCGCTTCCTCTTCCTTACAAATACTCCTCACGTTGGCTCCTGCTATTACCATCATCGAGATGGAACTCTACTACCCGATCCAGTCCTCGTGGCCCCTCTTCCCCGCTCCTCACTTTTTCTCGTCATCGGACTCCGCCACTCCGCAAAACTATGTGCACTGGACGGAAACGCCCGAGTCCCATCGCTTCAGTGCAGACTTGCCAGGTAACGGAGGTTCTTTTCCTCGTCTATTCTTCGTTTGGGATGGCGGGTGAAGCTCAGAATTTGCGTTGGTCCGTATGCAGGGGTGAGGAAGGAAGAGATCAGGGTGGAGGTGGAAGACTCGCGGTACATGGTGATCAGGACGGAGCGGCGGGACGACGACGGCCTCGGCGAGCCGGCGCAGAGGGAGAGGAGGGGATTCGTCAGGAAGTTCCGGTTGCCAGAGACGGTGGACATCGACGGGATCACGGCGGCGTACGAGGATGGCGTCCTGACGGTCACCGTCCCCAGATTGGTGAGTCGCCGGAGGCTCCAGCTCGATCTCGAGGATTTGGCAGATGCGAGCCATGCCGTGGCCCGCGCCGCTTGAGAACGTATTAAGCATATGATTTGATCCGCGTCGCGACTGTCGTTCGATGAAATGTCTGCGACGGTTAATAGCTTTAGGTAGCGCTCTAATCAACATTGCTGTAAGATGGTCGTGTGATGATTTAGTATTCATGCAACTATGGGAAGTTAAGAATCAGTCATTTATCCTTCGAGTGTATTGTATTTTGTTTACGAATTGATATCTACATAAAGAAATCACGTCGTTGTGAAGAGATACGGAGCTTTTGAGTGGGATAGCGACATTAATTTCAAGCAGTCGGGAGATATCAATGGCAGAGGAGATGAGCTGAACTTATCAGATTGTTATTATATCATTCGTTTTTTCTTGCAAGGTTGTAAAGTTAAGGGGTGTCGATAACGTGAAGGCTGCCAAGTTTGACTAGGTTGAGTGGACTTATCAGAGTGACATCCTGTTTGATTGACATATCAGAGTGATGATGAGATCTACAATAGGATATGATATACCGTTTGATTGTCTTTGTATTTGGAATTATATTTATCGAGCTTATTATTAAGTTTTTCTTATTTTTATTAGCATCTCTATTGATTTTGAAAATAGACTACGATATTTAAGATAAAAAGATGATGAACAAATGAAATAATAAATTATTTAACACGATGATGGAAGTAAAATACAATTACTCTGCTAGCATCAAATTAAATTATGGGTGGAGCAACTACCTCTTCTCTTTCGCACTATATTTCGCCCCGTCCTTTTCATGTTAGTGACGTTACCATAGCAATCATGAACGATAGAGGAGACATAAGCAGGGCGAAATATAGTGGGAATAATTCATTAATGCGTCCCAGAAGAAGATAGATTGAAAAAGCTTTAGTAGCCAGATATGGGGAGTATATCATTATTTTGGAATTAAGAGAAAAACTAAATATCGATGTATGTATATATGTATGTATGTATGGGATTTCATCGGAGTTCATTCAAATTTAACTAAGAGAGAAGGAATCTGTCATGTGAAAAAAAAAAAAAAAAGAGGTGATCGAGAAGAAAGAGAAAATAAGAAAAGGCGAATAAAATAAGAAAAAAAAATGAATGATACATTTTTATACCAAATGGATTTAAATCAAGCCCAGCAAATTATACTGAGTATGATTTTAAATTCTCTTATATTTTCATTAATTATATTTATGTTTTGAATTATAGATGGATGAATCATAATGTTCTTAGTTAATTAAATATTTATATTATAAAAAAAAAAAATATATATGGGAAACATAATAAAAGGAGAGAAAAGATCATACCTGCATGTTATATCAAGGATTTGTGATAATAGTAAGTATCCAATAATTCCGTCTAGTCTATTTTTGAAAGTATTAATGTATATTTTAGAAATTATAAATATATATGATTTACATAATTTAAAATTGTTTATTATTTATAAACATTATGAAGGAACTTAGATGTTTATCATTTGGAAAAACATATGATTTGAATAGTTGTTTATTATATTATAAGCATATATTAATTTATGTTGTATGATTCCTATGAAAATATTTGCTTACTCATGATATTTGAAAAGCATTAAAAAATTATGAATATTGTTAATTTTGAAATGACATTAGTTTTAGAATAATATACAAAAGGATTTGTTAAAATATCTAATTTTGTATGAAAGTAATTGATATGTTAATTTTAATATGATTTGGATTATACCAATAAGGATTATATATTGGTAGTCATTGATATTACTATGATTTTTATTCTTATCCGTCTATCCACAGCCCCTCAACTCGTTTATTTTTTCAAAACTCAATTTAAATTATTTATATTATAAGAATGATAAAGTCATTTAGTCTCACAATGATTAAGAAATATGGAATCAAGGACTCATAAGTCTGTCAGATCTTCCTCAAATATATTTTTTTAGAATTCACATGCTCCCAAAGGATAAAATTTTAGGTCAAGATCTGTCAAGTCAAAATATCTTTGAGTCACACGTCGCTGTAGTAAGAAAAAGGATTTGGCCTACAATTATTGAAGCCTATTTCACTAAAATAATTAGCCGCCATGACTCTTTCTTCCATCGTCACATGTTGATGCTACGAGGAAATAGAAATCAACAATCGAAGCTACCTTGGCACTTGTTAGATCGGTAAAAGCTCCTTCTGCGCCACAAAGAAGCTCTTGGACGAAGGATCAGCTGTGCGCTGAAATGTCGTTCGTACTGACAGCCTTGGGATGGCTCGGTGAGCACTTCATCGGGAGCTTGGTCGAAAAGTTAGCAGATTTTACGGTGCAGTTTGGGGCGGAGGAGGGGCTGCAAGATGATCTCATCAAGCTAAAGACTTCCCTGCACCAGATTCAGTTCACCATCATCCAAGCCGAGAATATCTGGATCCAAGATCAGGAGTTGAGAGGGAGATTCAATGAGTTGCTGATCCAGCTCAAGGACGAGGCCTACGATGCTGACCACTTACTGGACGAGTTCCACTTCCGAGTTCTGCAACAGCAGGCGGAGCAACGAGGAGACAAGGCAAGTCACCAATCATCTTCTTCTTCTAGTCTCCCTCCGAAGAAAAAGAGAAGACTTTCGTTGCTTGGTGGTGTTACCATCGGCTTTTTCGGTAGAGAAAATAATGACGACGATGTGAACAGAGTAAGGGAAATCAAAGGGAGGTTAGATAGACTTGCAGATGCATTCCGGATCGTCATGGCTTCGTTAGATGCAGACGGCAGAAGAATCAAACAGCTGGAAACATCGGAGACTCGAAGAACAACTTCCGTTCCATTTGCGACTCAAATGTTCGGACGGGACAAAGAGCTGAAAGAACTCGTAGAACTGCTGTTGCAATCGCCCCATGGATCCCCTGCTAGCAACCATAGCGTCTCTGTCTTGGCAATTGTCGGCATCGGCGGGGTCGGAAAGACTACTCTTTCTCAGCTTGCATGCATCCACGAGAGCATGGAGAAATATTTCAGACATATGATTTGGGTGTGTGTATCCGATGACTTCAGTGTGGAAAGGATTACCAAAGAGATCGTCGAGTCTGCAACCCAGAGAAAGTGTGATTCCATGAATTTTGACACCCTTCAAAAGAATCTTAAGCGGTTGCCATCAGATCGATTTCTACTCGTCCTCGATGACGTGCGCAATGCGGAGAAACACAAATGGGAGAGCTTGTGTGCGCCATTGAGATGGGGAGTAGCGGGCAGCAAGATTTTGGTGACGACTCGCTCGACAAAGATCGCAGACATAGTCGGCGGCGAGCAACCGATCCATCTAAAATGCCTGGACGAGGAGAGCTGCTGGGAATTCTTCAAGAAGTGTGCATTCGGATCACAAAACCCCGGAGACCATCCACAGCTGGAAGCCATTGCCAAGAAGATCGTTCGCAAGCTGGGCGGGTTGCCACTTGCAGCAAGAACGCTGGGGGCGCTGTTGAGTGTGAGGATGGATGAGCAGCACTGGAGAAGCATCATGGAGTGTGAAATCAGAGGGTACATACCACAAGCTCTCAAAAGACTGGTAATCAGAGGAGATACTTGAAGGTCTGCAGCCACATCAAGCTCTCAAAAGACTGGTAATCAGAGGGTACAATGGTGCCAGATCTCCCAGTTGGCTGGAGGCAAAACTGCTACCCAACTTGGAGATACTTACACTACAAAACTGTAAAAGATGGAATGATTTTTCATGCATCGGACCGATCCCGCGTCTCAAGGTCCTTCTCATGGAGGGCATGTCGGCAGAGAAAGTGACAGGCCATGGCTTCTTCGGTGCAACAGTACAGGGCAAGTGTTTCCCTATGTTGGAAGAGCTTGTGTTCCGAGACATGGCGGCATTGGAAGAGTTGTCTTGGAACGATGGCGGAGCATTGTTTCCCTGCCTGAGTAAACTCGAAATACAAGAATGCCCCAAGCTTCAGAGGTTGTCTCCTCTTCCTCCTTCGCTTACAAAACTTCAGTTAGGACAAGTTGGGTTGACAGAATTTACCGGACTATGGGAAGGAATCGATGGAAGCAGCATGATTCCGGAGAGCAACCTACGAAATATCAAAACTTTTGACATATGGGGATGTGAAGAACTAGTGTCGCTGCCGGTGAAGAGGTTTAGAGAACTCACCTCCCTCGAGAACCTGTCAATACAAAGCTGCCCCGTGCTCATGAGCATGACACGAGATGAGGACATTGAACTACTGCTGCCGCCCTCAGTGAAGCAACTAGATTTGATCGACTGTGGGGATCTCAGCAAATCCCTGCCTGCCTGCCTGCACAACGTCACCTCGCTGACCAAATTGGAGATAGGTGGATGTCCATACTTGATGTCTCTTCCAAGGGAGCAGATGCTCCACCTGAAACAACTCCAATGTCTGAGCATCAAGCATTGTGACGAGTTGACATCTGTGGAGGGGCTACGAGTTCTCAACTCCCTCAGATTTTTGACCATCCTCAGATGCCCCAAGCTTCTGGTGAACGAAGGGGACCGGCAAGGGGAGGTCTTGCCACTGGAGCAATTAGAAGTCGACGACACTGCGCTGCTCAAACTGCGGCCCATAAGAGATGCGCTGCAGTCGGTCCGTCATCTCGCAATCAAATCCTCACCACAAACGGCGATGTTCGACGGGGAGGAGCAGGAGTTGCTCCGAAGCCTCACGGGTGTCAGAAACCTGCAATTCTCCGGTTGCGGGAATCTCCAAACCCTGCCGACAGAGTTGCATGCCATTCGATTCCTTCGGACGTTATGGATCGAAGAATGTCCGGAGATCCGATCGCTGCCGGAGAAGGGGCTGCCCACGTCCCTCACGTATCTACAATTCGACAGTTGCCATCCCATGTTGACGGAGAAGCTGGAAAAGCAGGTGGCGGAGATGAAGAGCTCAGGTCGATGGTGGTAAAGGAATCCAAACGACCTTCGAAGTTCGCAAGGAGCAACTTACCTAATTCTCGTGCCTTTAGCACATCGATTCTATATTTCTTTTGAAAAATTATATTAAAATTATCTAGCCTATATTTTTTGAAAAATTATATTAAAATTTTTATACTTATAAAAATAAAATATTTACCTTTATTTTTTTAATATCATCGATTCTATCGATAAAAATATCGTATATATTCAGTAATAAATCAAAATAAGATAAATGATCAGATTTTTATCAATAAAATCGATGATGAAAAAAATAAAATAAAACATTTTAATTTTATAAATATAAAATTTTCAATATAACTATTTTCTAAGACAAAAATCTCCTTATTACCCCCTTATATTTGATTTGATATGTGCACACAAACAACAAAAACAACAACAAAGCATATCATGTTTTCAAAAAGTCTACATATCTCTAGTAGTGATGTACAGAGAGTTCCCTGTTCATGCAAAGATCGAATACATAGTGTCATATGCCATACAAAAGCAGCATTTCTCCCTTAAGGAGTTCACCTTTGTCAAGTTGTGTTTTCAGCTATATGACACATTCGAAGGTTGGGACACAACAAGAGAAGAGTCTCTTTTGACACAAAGGAGATGATACATGGCAAAGTAAGAACAAATTGAGTCTTGATCGTAAGAGAAATATTCTTGAGTATGTGCAGCACAGAGCTCCAGTTTCCCTTTAGATTCAGTTACATTCAGTATACTTTCTTCTGAGGAGCCAAGCAAACCAAAAATTAAAAGGACAAAAATTAACAATTACACACATAGGAGAGATTTGATACAAGCTACTTGACAAGCTGTTGCAAGTTGAGACCCCAGGCTGATGCTAAATGCATCATTAATTGGTCTGGTGCTGCCCCCTCCCAATCCTCTGGTAGTTCAAGTGCAGAAGCTTCATGAAGATTTAACAAAATCTCTCTCTTCCATTCGAGGGGGACTCTAAGGAAGTCGGCTCCATTCTCTACAACAAGATCTGACAACTGCAAAATGAAACATCAAAATAATTACAAAACTGCTGCTGTCGTGGCCTCATTGGGCCTCTCCTTTTTTTTCTAGCATTTTAACCAAAAAGAGTCTGTTGAATCTGATTTCTGCTTCCCTCCAAGTGCTGACTGAGAGACCTTATTATCTCAATGAAATAAAGGTAATCGTACTAATTATATCATGGTATCTTACTGTCTTCTCCATAAATTTGTACCCTGTTACTCAATTAGTCCTTTTCAAGACGAACAGTATTTTCAAAGGACCTCCCCTCTCAATCAAAATAATCTGTCTCCAGAAATCTGGAAATCTGGCACAAGCTGAGTCAATAAAAATTTAATGTTTGGACAGAAAGGGAAACGGATCTTGGTTGAAAACAGTATGGCGGAGATAACGACTTGAAAACAGTATGGAGGAGATAAGGAACTTTGTAGTATTATGATTATCCACTACAAAGCTCATCTTCTGGAGAGGATCAACGTAGTCAAATGCAAATATTAGAAAAAAAAAACAGGTTGTACCATTGAAATCATAATTTTCAGTAAGCTCTTATCCCACAGTTGCTATAAAATGTCAAGAGTACTTGGTGTACAGACTATTATCCAATCCTGCATAGGTTCAGTCGGTATCAGATCCTCAGCTTAAACTTCACAAATGACATAGTGACTATCTTGTGGATGGGTTTGGATGTGTTCCTTTCTTATAAACCATGTTACCTATGCACCACATCTAATTTTAGTCAACATAAAGTTTGTAAACAAATATGATACAACTTCTAAAGCTCCAAGATTGTACTTAAAAAATAATAATTCCCGACACATTATTGTTCCATTAATTCTTCTATTATGTACATACATCTAGATATGTGCACATGCATGAAACTAACCAACTTGTAAGATTTTTATGCAACTTCTTTCAGCAGTTCACAAAAAACAATGTAGATAGACTAGAAAAAGATTTTATATATACTCACAAAAGAAATCTATAGAATAAGCACCTAATACCTTCTCCATGCACCTACTTAAATATATTTCTACTAGTCATAACATGAAACACATCTTTTAAATCAAACATAATCAATTAAATGTTTCGAGATAATTAATGGTACCTGTTGAAGCCAATTCAATGCTATATCAAACAAGCTTTGCTCCAGAATAAATTGCCCAACTGCGTGCAAGACTTCACTTGCTATTTCACCAGAGAGCTGGTCGAAAACTGGACCTGATTTATCCATTAGCTTTACAAGTAATAAGTCATCACCAGTAGATAGAATCTCTTCATAAGCTGAATCAATGTCACCAACATGAAGTGAATCCATGGCACGAGTCCAAGACGCCCAAAGTGGACCCTTGTCGGGCCCTGGATTATCATCTGTTAAAGCTTCAGCATCTAATTCTGGTACAGCTACTCGTGCTGCATTTCTGGATGTTCCATTGTCTTCCCCAGCTACTCTGATAGCTTCAAGTGTAGCCTCATCCTTTGAGGCTTGCCAAACGCTTCTTGCAGAAGGCCCTTCACCAAGCCTAAACGGTCCTGGTCCTTTGTTCCAAGCCCGCCTACCACTGACTTGATCAGTATCATGCTCGGTTTTGTGTAACCTACCATCCACCGGAACAGCACCAAACCCTCTCCTAGTGTTCATAACACCATTTCTTGAAGCTACATATCCATAGGAATCCCATGCTTCAGATTCCGACCTCCACGGAGAATCTCTTCCCCGAACACCAGTTACCAAACCGTCTGACAAGTGAAACCTTTCACCAACTCTGCCAAACTTTGAGCTGGAGTAATCATGAAGGCCATTGTACTTGCTTGAAGACCTTCCTGGAGATTTGTCAAATCCCAGCATCATATTTCCAACTCTCCTTCCAGATGACATAGCCAAATCATGAGCCATTTCTTCAACAACTCTCTCAAGACCCCTAACTCTATTTTCTAGAGTTACCATACTATCATGGGAGCCACCAATGAAGTCCTGCATTTAAGAATGAAATAAAAGATGAAACACTTGCTACCCATGGACTTGCACATTAGCTGAATGATCAAACAACAAGAAGCAAATCAGTACATCATACAACAAGATGGACAATCCCAAGAACAATAATGTAGGTTCTTTCACAACCATAAAATCCTTGCAAAGCTGCTTTTCTTAAGTGAAAGAACTAAGACCCCTTTTTTGGTTGGAGTTGATAATGTGAAGCATATGAAAATAAACTAAATATGCAAATTCAAGATCTGAGCAAAGATGTAATGATTGATAAATTTAAGCCGAAAAAAAATTAATAATTAATTTAATCTGCACGTGGAGTGATACTCCATCAGTAAGGTAACTTAATGATTGCCATCTATTTTAAGAAAGGAAACAAGTAAGGTACCCTCCAATAAATACGAATAAAAAGGGCATACTCAAGACACAAGGCTCCCGCCAATGTGAGGTCTAGGGAGGGTCAATGTACGCAGCCTTACATTTAAATATTTAAAGAGGTTGTTTTTGTAACTTGAACCCTGGTCTCCCAAGTTGCAAAAGAACAATCTTACTGTTATACCAAGGCTTGCCCTCCTTCGAAAAATACAAATGAAAATTATAAAACATTCCTTTGTAAACCAATCATTATCAACTACAAAACTAAACATGAAACCAATTTTTAGAACCTACAATCACAAGACAAAAAATCGAGCATGGATAGTATGCTAAGAGCAATCAATAATAAATGAAGTTCTAAATTATGCAAGAAAAAAATTAAGCATACATGATGAAATATTTAAAATGTAGCAATTTATGGATAAACCTGTAACATATTCATGAGACTGGCTTGTTGCCTCTCTAATTGAGCCAACTGCCTCTGTATCGCAGTCCAATTCGCCCTATTGCTCATAAAAGGCCCATCAGTGTTGGCATCAGATCTAGGGACATTTGTACGACCAGGAGAAGGATCTTTCTGACAGACTTCAGTTGTGTCCTCAACATTCAAAACTTTTGCTTTTGATTCTTTTGCCTTAGATCCCCTTTGCTCTGTCCATTTGTCCCGAGCAAAATTATCCAAGTCCTGCACCTTCTTGTAAGGCCCTGGTCGTTTATCTTCATTCCGGTAATTGGCAGTGTTATATCCATGAGTGTCATCTGATTCCTGGAGTGCTGCTCCATCACAGTTTGATGTGCCCGTCGAATCATTACAAGTTACTTCTGATCCTTCTTCACATTGAGAATGGGAAGACTGTAAGCACCTACGAGGTAGCACCACTTCAACAGGAAAGTCATCCAAACTCCTCTTCTCTAGCTTTTGGAAGAATTCTGGATTCAACTCCTTATCGGTTAATGATGGTGCTTTTTTCATTAAAAGCACTGTTGCTTTCTCTAGCATGTTGGTGCCATTTTCTTTGGAGACAGAGTCACTTTCACCAGATGAAAATCCAGCAGATGAAATTTTTAAAGATTCTAACTTTTTGCTAGGGTTAAACCTTTTATGATCTTCCTTTTCTTCATTATCAGTTAAGTCCGAGCTTCTAGAATCTGCAGCATTATTCACTAATTAATGTAAAGATGGTGGCAGAAAAATTAATTAAAAGAAACTGACAAGAAACATAAAGAACATGCCTTTTGTGTCTGCCAAAGTTCCATCTCCTCTAATCTTCTTCCATAGCTGCAGTGCCTCCATCATGCTATCTCTAACAGGTTTTACCTGAAAATTTAATGCAATATAAAGAAATACTTAGCAAAGAAAAATTATCTTAGAGATATTGCTGGTAAAAATCATATTGAGCTAACTAAACTTGTTTCAGTTATCGTATCATCAGGTACAGGCACCTATACAGTGTTTGGAAAAACTAATAAACCAGGTTTACCTTATCAAAACGGCAGGCCTCAAGAGCAGTTATGGTTGCTGTAGCCCCATCACCAAGAACATGGCTCGAGTGAGAGGCCAACACACAGAGTGTATCAGCAGCTGCCTTACGGGTAGCCCAGTCACTATTCTCAAGACATTCACGAATAGTTTGCAGCACTTGTTGCATGCTCTGAGGACTGATTGCTCCTACCTGAAAACATAACTCACATGATTTATTTTCTGATCGGAGTACCAAATCCAAAAT